ACACTTATTTTAATTTTGTTATCCAACAATTAAAATTCAATAAAAACATGAATGCACAACAAGAATAAAGGTGTGGAAATCATTTTTTCGGTGAAAGCACTATCAAAAATAGGCAAACACCCCCAAATATGTTCAAATACTCCAAAAATAAAGGATAAAGTAAAACAACACTTCTTGCGAAAAGCGCTAATCGGACTAAAGTATAGTCTCTTTCAAATGGGCATCCAACGTTAAAGAAGTGTGATAATTGTAGGGGGATAGTGTAAAGTGAATAGAGTATTGCTATGACTAAGAGTTTACTAATCATGCGGATTCGGATTCTCCACTCGGTTTTATTGTGTTTGTTGTCTGTTAATTATTACCGCACATCACAATCCAAAAGTGATTGAGCAGAAGAGTGGTGGATTTTTACTATGTGGAAACAAAAAAAATTTGGAACACATAAATTGCAACATGTGAAATGCATTTGAAATAAAATATAAATAAAACATAAAAACCTCAACCGTACGAAAAGAAGTTTTATTGAATTCCTAACCATTTTCTTCATCATGTTTAAATTAAAGAGTCGTAATTTTAAATTTTTTTAAATTAAGATGGTTTAATCAATTGTCAACTCAATAATTTTGCATTTATTTAATATACATCCACATAAGTAAGCTAAGACCATCTTCAAATGAGATATCAAATTTTGAACATAAAATTTAAATTTGACAGCCTACATAGCACTTTGACATATTTTAACATTTCACTCGCCATCCGATATGTCAAATTAAACTATTATTTTATTACATTATTTTGTGTTCTTAATTTTTGTTTTATATTTTAAATTTTACACATAAATCATTCATGATAATTGAAACCCAACAAATAACCTTTTATTGGTTGAACACTAATAAGGACATGATCCTCATCTTTGTTGAACGAATAACTTTTTTCTTGCTTCCAGACATTGAATCAGAAGATTAGTCGGAAAAAACTCGAGGCATGTTCACTGTATGAAGTTCTTTGTTGAACCCAGCACCAGTGGCAAAGCCACAGCAGGGCTAGGAGGGGCGGCCACCCCTCCGGTCATTGGAAATTCACATGCAGAGCAAGGAATCCGCCCCTTCAGTCATCGAAAAGCCACATAAACAGCCATGGTGTCGGTGGGCTGCTTGTTGCAGAGGAGGGCAACTCCTGCCCGAGGATGAAAAACAGAAAACAAAAGTTGTTTTAAAAAAATCTTGGACCCCACGATGTCGTTTCAACATTCCTTTTAAATGAAACATTGCGTTTTGTTACTTTTTCTTCTATCCTTCTTTTGTTGCTTTTCTCCGTTTTTACTTTCCCTTTTTTTTCCTTCTATATTTTTTCCATTCAACTTGGTTCCTTTGATTTTGGTTAAATGGTTTGGCTTGGTCTATCTTTCTTTTGGTTTGATCTTCTAATTGGTCCCTAATTATACTTTAAAGACATAAGTGCTTCAATGAAATATTTTAGATAAACCATACCCACAAAATACCACATAAAGTAAGACATTCAATACTAAAATTACCTTAATGTTGTTAATACAATATGGAGGAGGCTATTTCATACTCAAATTTGTATAGTTTTTTTTTTCTAGCCATTACTACATTCAATGAATTTCCGACGTGACTTTGTGGACTTGTTTCATGTTTCAAATAATAGGAAAACTAAAGAAAATGATTTGAAAACTTTTGAGTTTTAACCAAAAGAACAAAAATGTGTTGTAAGTGAATAGTATCATGAGTGACTTTTTACAGTAAAAATGTCTTTAACGTCAAAAGTGAACACTACCATGAGTGTTTCGTTAAGACGCCCTAATTTAAATCAATCTAGGCTCCTGCCTAGGCACCTAGTTGCTAGGTTATAGTCCGTTGTTTGACTAGTGCTTAACATTTTTTAGGATCTAATCCTAGCCAATTTAAGCTTCTTACATTGGCTTTGATATTATTGCTTACAACCGGTTTGGTGGAGAGACTATTTTCTGCTATGAATAGACTCAAAACTTTGCACTCTCCAATGTGAAAACAACCGCTTCGATTGAACTTTGCACTCTTTTGAATTTTGCCCCTCCCCTTGGCAAATCCTAGCTTCACCACTACCCAGCACCACGAATAACTTTTTTCTTGCTTCCAAACAAAATCTCATCAGTTTGAACACTGAGCTCTCTCTCTTAGATCAAAAGAATACCTATCTTTTTTGTTCATGTGAGCAGAGATGAATTGTCTCCATAATCTCACAGGGTTTCTCATTCATTCCGTACACACATTCCATAAACATTCACCAATTTTCTTTACCAATTAATTAATCTTTTTTCATTTCATTTTTTTTCCAAATCTCATATCCTCTGTTTTGCCTCCCCGAAGCTTCAGGAGCTAATCCCAGGAGGCCTTCATTCTCTAATCTTTATCACAACTCTATCATTGATTAAAAAAAGAAAGAAAGAGGCAGGATATGAATAGACTGCACGTTCAATAATCAACATTTATTATAATAAATAATTAAACTAATTAAAAAATATTAATTAATTAAAAAATATTTGAAGCTATTGTCAAATTTGACAGCAGCCTCCTTTGTTGCCATTCTGTCACATCCCAGCTCGGGTAGGATCACTTCCTGAGCCCAACTCTACCATAGTATGATATTGTCTGCTTTGGGCCCCCAGCACACCCTCACGGATTTGTTTCTGGGAACTCACACGAGAACTTCCCGATAGGTCACCCATCCTGGGAATGCTCTCGCGCGCTACTTGCTTAACTTCCAAGTTCCTATGGAACCCGAAGCCAGTGAGCTCCCAAAAGGCATGTGCTAGGTAGAGATGGGAATACACATATAAGGATCACTCCCTTGGGCGATGTGGGATATCACAATCCACCCTCCTTAGGGGCCTGACGTCCTCGTCGGCACACCACGGCCAGGGTTAGGCTCTGATACCAAATTATCACATCCCAACTCAGGAGGGACCACTTTCCGGGCCCAACTCCACCATAGCACGATATTGTCCACTTTGGGCCCCAGCACACCCTCATGGTTTTGTTTCTGGGAACTCACATGAGAACTTCCCGATGGGTCACCCATCCTGGAAATGCTCTCACGCGTTACTAGCTTAACTTCGGAGTTCCCATGGAACCCGAAGCCAGTGAGCTCCCAAAAGGCCTCGTGTTAAGTAGAGATGGGAATACACATATAAGGATCACTCCCCTCCCCTGGGCGATGTGGGATATCACAATAATTGTCACATCCCGGCCCGAGGGGGATCACTTCCCGGGCCCGCTCCACCACCGTAGCATGATATTGTCCGCTTTGGGCTCTGACCACGCCCTCACGATTCTGTTTCTGGGAACTCATACGAGAACTTCCCGATGGGTCACCCATCCTGGGAGTGCTCTCGTGCGCTACTCACTTAACTTCAAAGTTCCCATAGAACCCGAAGCCAATAAGCTCCCAAAAGGCCTCGTGCTAGGTAGGGATGGGAATATACATATAAGGATCACTCCCCTAGGTGATGTGGGATGTCACAATCCACCCCTTTTAAGGGCCCGACGTCCTCGTTGGCACACCACGACCAGGGTTAGGCTCTAATACCAAATTGTCACATCCCGACCCGGGGGGATCACTTCCCGAGCCCGCTTCACCACCGTAGCACAATATTGTCCTCTTTGGGCACCGACCACGGCCTCACGGCTTTGTTTCTAGGAACTCACACGAGAACTTCCCAATGGGTCACCCATCCTGAGAGTGCTCTCGCGCGCTACTCGCTTAACTTCGGAGTTCCCATGGAACTCGAAGCCAGTGAGCTCCCAAAAACCCTCGTGCTAGGTAGGGATGAGAATATACATATAAGAATCACTCCCCTGGGCGATGTGGGATGTCACACATTCCATGTCATGCCACATAGGATTTGGCATTTCGGTTGAAAACAATTAGTGGCTGTCTTTTTTTACTATTATAGCTTATGTGGACATTTTGACATCTCCTTTGGAAATGCTCTAATAACTATTTGGAGATGCTCTAATAACTATTTCCTACAATCTAAGAATTTTAAATTGGTGACTTTATTAATTAAAAATAGTAATTTAACTAATTCCTTATTGTCATTGCAAGTAGCATTTTACTACAGTGGTAGAAAGGTGTTAAGTCCTTGCATGGAGGAGTGGGTTCAAACCCCGTCAGTGACTAATCTAACATCTAATTTAATAAAATCTAATAATCTATTGTTTGACCCAAAAAAATTCCTTATTGTCATTTAAAAAAAAAGAGAGAATTTTTTATTTCTGTTATTATATTTAATTAGTCTCTTGCTACATTAAAAAAAAAAAAAAAGTTATTAATACTTTCATAAGAAAGCTTCATTAATTTGGTAAAATTTTACATATAGTTATATAAATGTATTTAAAACTTATGGTACATTTGAAAATAAACGTACCATAAAACCAAAATTGCCCATATTATAGGTAATCAAATGTACCAATACAATCAAACGACCTACAATCAAACGTACCTTTACTATGATTATGTATGTGATAATGAGTTTTGAACATTCTATTTAATTCACTAAACTAATTATTATAACAAATAATAGAAAATCTAAAATCTGCAGAATGAGAGATGCATATAACTATAACAAATTCACAGGTAAGGAATGATAGGGAAAAAAGGAAAACGAAAGTAAAGATGTAATGTGAAATTTTTTTAGGGTGGCTAGCAAACAATTTCATGAAAATTACCCAAAAGGTAAAAAAAAAATTATTAAAAAAAAGGAAAAATTTGAACTTATAATAAAATGAAATTAATCACCAAAATTGTAGAGAAAATATTTAATCAAATTCTTAAAAGTAACAGATGCATTTTCAATGAAATTAAAAAATGAAGCGTTTATATCAATACGCTCCTAAAATAAGTAAAATAATCATGGGAACACAAACCATACCCCTAAGAATAAAGAAGCAACACGTGAAATGCGTGGCTTTTCATTTTTAGTATAAATACATAATGGTGTTCTTGGATGAGATTGTCCATCTTTTACACGCTTTCTAGAACTTCGCCACAATGGCTTTAACTCCATGGTTTCTCCTTCTCATCAGCCTCGTATCTACTCTGCTAGTTGATGTCACTCTGTCTGCTGCTCACCAGGATAACCGGAAGGCATTCATAAAATATGCATTTTGAACAATTCCGTTTCTCTGCTCAAAATATGTTCATTAATTAATTTAATCTTCTGATCTTGGATATATTAACTGCAGGATTACATAGTGTATATGGGTGACAAGCCAAAGCCTGAGGTTTCCACCACTACCACATCAGCTCTTCATGTAAACATGCTACAAAACGTCGTCGACGACAGGTTTAATTAATTATCACATATGATAGTGAGCTTAATTATATATACTGATTAACATTATCCGTGACAAGGGTACCATTTAATTTAGTCATTTCTCGTACATACGCATCTTCTCTTTGTTTTTCGAGCTTAATTATGGCAGAGTTTGAAAGTATCAAATCTTTGACGATTTTGTTATTTGACGTTTATTTATCCAGCAATATTGCGCACGAATCTCTGCTTCTGCACAGCTACAAGAGAAGCTTCAATGGCTTTGCCGCCAGGCTAACGGAGGAAGAAGCACAGAAGTTGGCTGGTTGTCTTATGAACCCAACTTTAATTTATTTTTCAACTAGCATAAACATTAATAGTGACCATTGTATGACGAGAAAAATATATGCAGGAATGGATGGTGTGGTGTCTGTTTTCCCTAGTGAAACTAAGAAGCTCCAAACAACAAGGTCATGGGACTTCATTGGGTTTCCTGAAATGGTGAAGAGAAGCGCCATTGAAACGGATATAATTGTCGGGGTGATTGACTATGGAATTTGGCCTGAATCCGCCAGCTTCAGTGACGCCGGGTTTGGTCCACCCCCCAAAAGGTGGAAAGGGGCCTGCAAGGGCGAAGGCAATTTTACTTGCAACAAGTAAAGCAAACCAGTTTATTTCAACCATCCACTGCACATTTCAAAAAAAAATAAAAAAGATATCACGTGTTGTTAATTACACTTGGACAGAAAGAAAAAAAAGTGCGAACTCGATTATAATTTGTACGATATGTTGTCAAATTGTAACTCTAACTTAAATAATATGGCATACTGTTGTTACACTTGGACAGTAAAATTATCGGAGCACGGTATTACCGCAGTCTACCCTACCCCAAAAATAGCAGTGATATCTTGTCCCCGAGAGACACGGAAGGCCATGGAACCCACTGTGCATCAACAGCAGCAGGGAACTTAGTTAGCAAGGCAAGTCTGTATGGTTTAGGGTTGGGGACAGCAAGAGGAGGGGTGCCATCAGCACGCATTGCGGTGTACAAAGTTTGTTGGTCAGAAGGGTGCCCGGATGCTGATATACTAGCGGCATTCGATGATGCCATAGCTGACGGTGTTGACATACTCTCTGTCTCCCTTGGGGGGCCTAAACCGTTAGATTATTTCAGAAATTCCATTGACATTGGAGCTTTTCACGCTTTAAGAAAAGGAATATTCACTTCCGCATCTGCTGGTAATGAAGGTCCAAACCTGAAAACTATTACAAACTTTGCACCATGGTCTCTTGCTGTGGCTGCTAGCACCATAGATCGTCACTTTGATACCAAGGTTCAATTGGGAAACCACAAAATTTATGAGGTAATTGATACAGAATCTAACCTTTGCTCATTTAGGGCTTTGTTTGGTAGTGATTCTGGTTGGGCAATATATAATCACTTTTGGAGAATCAACAATATATATATATGCGCTGAAGATGCACCAAAATACTAGAGAAGTGATTAACATGAGAGTTGATTATGATTTTTTTTTGCTTCCTTAATTGGTAGGGAATAGTAACAAACACATTTGAACTCAAGGGTAAATTCTACCCCATAGTATATGCTGCAGACGTTCCAGATAGGGCAGCAGGTTACGATGGGGAAACTTCCAGGTATGTCTACGCATTTTGAGAGTATATATACCTTTTTGTATTGAAGAACCACGGTAGTCTAGCATAAGTCTAACCAGGTGCTAATAACATGGATATATATATATATGGAACAGGTTATGCCATATAGGCACGTTAGACAAAAAATTGGTGGAGGGTAAAATTGTTCTTTGCGATGGGACTACTGGGGATGGGGCTATATATGCAGGCGCTTTTGGTTATGTTTTGACAAGCCGAAATGCAGCAGATGTAATCGATCCTGTTCCAGTACCAGCAGCTTCTGTTTGGTTCCATGTTGGTAACGAAATTACCCATTACATAAACTCAACCAGGTATCAATATTTGAGAATGACTGTGATTGATTTAAAATATTGCTAATGTGCGAAACTAACATAAATCAAAAGACATCTTATTATGTTATTGCTAATAAATCCTTAATCCCTGTAATGATTCGTAGGAACCCAACAGCAACAATTTGGAAAAGTACTGAGGGTAGGGATGCACTGGCCCCATATGTACCTTCATTCTCATCAAGGGGTCCAAATCCAAACACTCCTAACATTCTCAAGGTAACTTCAAGGCCCCGTAGGTGTGTGAATGCTGACTTAAAAAATGAACAAACCGAATCATGAATATTGAGGGGTCTTAATTTTCCTCCTTGTTTTCTCCTATATGTTGCAGCCAGATATCGCTTCTCCTGGAGTTTCCATTCTAGCAGCATGGCCTCCAATTACCCCAGTTTCAGGTGTTGAAGGTGATGACAGAGTAGCTTCATACAATATAATCTCGGGGACATCAATGGCATGCCCACATGCTGCGGGCGTGGCTGCATACGTCAAATCATTTCACCCCAATTGGTCACCTGCTGCTATCCTGTCAGCTCTTACGACTACTGGTATAGATGCATTTTCATAAATGTACCCATTACAATACAAACGTTCTCTCACATATTTGATGAGTCGTGTGACCAATTATTGTCAGAGATCATGTGACCAAGTCCTGTGAGAAAGACTCTACATATAATTAGACTTTGTCCATGATGTACATTGTATTACCTAAGATTTATATGTTTGATTAATTTGTAACAATTTTGCAGCCAAACCTATGAGTGCAAATCTTAACCCTGAAGCCGAATTCGCATACGGTGCTGGCCTAATAGATCCTAGTAGGGCTCCGTATCCTGGTTTGGTATACGATGCTGCTGAAATCGATTACGTAAATTTTTTGTGTGCACACGGCTATAGTACCAGATTATTGAAAGCTCTTACAGGGGATAGCTGCTCATCATCACAATCGAGTCATGGAACACTCAGTGATCATCTAAACTATCCTTCTGTTGCACTTTCCACCTCGAACCCTAAATCCGTCAATGGCATTTTCAATAGGACCGTCACAAATGTTGGATCACCAAAGTCCTCATATAAAGCTAAAGTGAGTGCACCACCAGGACTTGAAATCAAAGTTAATCCAAGCGTTCTAAAGTTCACATCTCTCTGGCAGAAGCTATCGTTTCAAGTCACGGTGAAAGGGTTGATTGAAAAAACCATAGTCTCTGGTTCTCTGGTGTGGGATGATGGTAATTTCCAAGTGAGGAGCCCCATTGTTGTGTATTTTGTGATTTGAGAACAGGGTATGTGTAATAATGTATGATGTATGAATAAGTAATTGCATGAAGCTAGACAGGGCTCCAATGAAACAAAAGTGCAACGTACTGATCACGATGATGTATTTCAAATGAAAATTTAATTATTATATATTTATGAACCTTTAATATGATGTAGTACATCGAAATTTGAAACGTACTCATTCAAGGATATTTTATAGTTCTCTGTGCAATCTAATTGTATATTTGATTGTTCTCTAGATTTTCTCCTACGTTGATTACTTGATTGAAGGCCCCATCCCTCGTTGCCCGTTTATACAGGTTGTAGCTATCACTAGATCAAGTTATCAACGAGACTTTAGTCGGAACCTTCCTGATTAAAAACAAAAGACCGAAAAACTTCGGTGGGGACATTTGCAAACAACTACTTATACACATGAAAAATATCAGAGTAGCATCATGAATCGGTGGCATAAAAATCTTTACCCACCCACTTGTTCTAGATGTTGGCACATGATCATGCATCGATCGATATACGTATGGACAATGCAAGCCCTACCATGCAAATTATGCCAAGAACAATCGATCGAGTGACCAGTGGTGCGAGAGCTAGGAATATTAGCAAGCTGCATTTTCTCACTTCCCACTCTCACTTGTTCGAGCATACCGACTAATATGCTTGTTTCCTGACTTGTGGATATATCCAAAGGTCAATATGGATGCATGGCATGTGATGTAGGTCAAGAGGTTTTTCTTCTTTTCAAAAGCAGTATCTGTTGGAAAAGTTAGACATGGAATTGATACCATATTTAATATGCTTTTGTACCGCCATTCCCTAGAACCAAAAATTGAATGAAGTAAAAACTGCCTTATTTCGCAACATTTCTCAACTGGCTACCGGCTCTCTAGTTTTCCAATTGTCTTCATGGTCGAAGTACGTAAACTGGGTCGGATCATTTTCTTCTTTGAGCAGATATGATCAAGGACGATAACCATCGGGCTGGGATAACCATCGATGAAGGCTATTGCCCATGTTATGCGCTAAGAAAAGGTTGCAAGCGGTTATTTGCTTGTAGAGCTACCGGCCGCCTTATAGTACAAATTTTATAACTAGAACCGCTTATTTTTTAATCTTCATTTAAGATTATATGTGCAAGATCAATGCACTTGGAGATCAGTCAATACATCTATATGTATCATATCTGAATGGAGAATTTGTTATGAGGATACTAGTTGTTGCCCAAATTATCGATTTGATACATATGGATGGCTAAACAAATTTTAAGTTGATTATCTATTTTTTTAGCAAAGATAATATCAAATGATAATTAAAAACATTAAGGGTTTCACTTATGAAATTTGTACAATGCAATACCTTAATGCAAGTGTGTGAATAAGGTGATTTACGCATGCCAGCAATCTGCACTCGAGTAGGATTCCCCCTTCCCGCAGTTTAGTAGAATTAGTGTCTAGACACTTGTATTAAAAAATCTTTAAACCTAGGTCTATGGATGGATATTTTATTCAAGTTTTTTTTCTTCTTATACAAGCGATACTAAGTGAGGGAGAATCGAACTCATGACCTCAATTACAAAAGTGGTGAATGCTCTTAACCAATTGAGTTACAAGTTCTTACTATTTATACCCAATTTGTCATCTAACCAAGCACTAAGTTTAAGGCATCGACAATTCCAACATCCATTCACCTATTTATACGTACGATTTTTACAGTGGGCTGAGTCAGCAGTAATGAGTTGAATTGTTGACATCTCATGAACTGATTACTATAAAATAGTGACTCACAACTATAAAACTCATCATACCACTATAAATACAATGTTATAAGAATCAAACTCACCTTAAACCATTTTGGAACGCCAAACACACAAAATGCCAACTGATTGAACTCTAGGTTTTTTTATTTTTTTGAACAAACAATATTATCTACACTAAGGATGAGAGGTGGGCTTAGCCTTACAATGAACTAGCAGTAATGTGGTTCAAATTTGCCTTTGGCAATAATCAAATTAAAACCTCTCACTTACAAGTGAAAAAAAAATATCACTAGACCATAATATTATGTAATATGATTCAACTCTAAGTTAAACAATACATTGACCTCAAATGAGAAACTCATTATTCTTTGTCCCTGAAGTATTGGTTGGACATCAATTCTGGCCCAAGTCAACCAGTCTAATAGAAGGATAGGGTTGGATGGAAACTTCACAAGTCCAACCAAAACCCACCAGCTCAAAGCTACGATCCATCCAATTGACAAACCACTAGTACCGACATGGTATAAATTAGCAATATGCCAACTGTGCAAAGGATCACGGAAAATCTGTATTTTCTTCTTCAGATCAACTTTCCCTAGAAAATGAAGGAAAAAGCATGCAGTGCATAGATATGGCAGGTACGGAAAAACTTTTCTCTGGATTTAGAAACATGTGATCAACTTTTCCAGGAAAGAATATCGGTGCATGTAACGGAAGATGTAGTGATTATCCTAAGCTGCCAAAAGAACCTAAAGGCATGAATCATGATGATATCAAACTTCAAAGATTGAAATTCCTTTAAAGGGTAATTGGAGCAATGGCTTATGAATATTAACTCAATTGGAGTTTTGGTTTTTGAACTAAAAATTCGTGACTACTAATCTCATAACTTGTTATAAGATTGAGCAATATCTTTTTTTGCCCAACTCCGTTAGAACATCGAACCAAAATAAAGAGTTTAAAAGGATAAAAAATGGATGAAAATCCCAACGTAGTTAGCCAAAAGAACAATTGCTCTACATTATAATAAGTTTATGGATCAATACTCACGAATTTTTAATTCAAACTAAAACTTCAATTGAACCAAAATTTAGAGACGATTGCTCAAATTTTCTCTCTTTCTTCAACTACCGTATCTTCGAGATAGTGTGATTCAAATATTGTATCCTAACATTACTTACACGTCCTAAACATCATACGTGATACGTGTAAGCCCTTCATTGGTTAATTATAATCATCCAATTAAAGTATCTGGTCGGCAGTTTTGACAAAAAAAATTTAAAAAACAAAAAAAATTGAATCTGGTCGGCAGAGCTGAAAGGAAGGGATTATCAGTACGTAACTTGATGCCATCTTTATCCAATTAATTAACTAAACGAACTAATTAGCATATGTTTGTAAGAACAAATGAGAAGCCTGAGGAATCCTTAGGTTGATATTTTTCATAACAACGCTACACCGATTGACCATGTGGAATATCTTTTGCCAGTTGCCATGTTGATCACGAGTTATTCTTTTGATCCTAAAGTATATTTAAAAATAAAATTTAATCACCTTTAGCACACCTAAGAATAACTTGAAGTAAATGAGATCTGTAGCCTTAAAGAAAGTGGTCAAGTTTCCTTAAATGTATAAGTTATTTGTTTTTACTTGTTTTCTTAAGGAATCTTGACGGTATAAGGGACATTTTGTTTATAAGAAAGGATATGCATTTTATTCTTGATCCGTGTTTATTATCCTCCTAGGCTCATCAATACTTCATTTTGCTCTAACTTGGGCACAACATTGAACTTTTACACATAAAATGACACGTTCGACCTTGATATTACCCGAACACCAGAGTAGGCACGTCCTAGCCGACACCCGAAGGTGATGCAAACCATTTATGAACTAGATGTATGCTTTGAAATATATCTCAAAAACATCTTTATAGTATAGATGATGGATGACTTTATACTATGAAGATGTTTTTTTAGATAAATATATATATACACAGACACACACACACCTATGTTTGGAAAGTCTATGTTCAATGATTTTGTGCTTATCTAGTGGTCACTATACCGCCAAGGGCGAGGATTATGGATGTTGGTTGCAGCCCAGGAGAAATAATCTCTAGTTTCGGGCCGAGAGACATGGAGCTAGCATTGGGCCAAGAGATATCGTTACTGGATACCACTATTTAGCCCATTATAGACAAGATATGTTTTATGAGAAGTTTTATGGAATGCTAGTGTTTTAGGAAAAACCTATCACATATTATGCTATTAGTTTTCATAAAACTTTGGGCGTTAGTATGTTAATAACTGTTTAATTAATTAATTAATTATATATATCAACTTGGTTCACTCATGTTTGTTTTGGGTCCCCTCAAGACATAGGGACGAGGAATATGATTCGAGATACGAGGCTTTCCCCTACCAGTGATACCGCGTCATCTCTTATGCTTTGACATCATTGTAATTTCACCTTCCGCTTGTATTCTGAACTAAATGTATGCTCTGAACATGTCATGCATTATCATTATGTTTTCATTGTTGGCAGTTGAATATTATTTTATTATATTAGTATTCAAGCAAAATTTATATGCATGTTTCACATGTTCTCATCATTTGCATTTATAAATGGCTTGCGTTACCTTCAGGTGTCAGCTAGCACGTGACCATCCCAATATTCCACAGACATCGGGATCGGGGCGTGTCATAAAAAGTTTAGTAGTATTTTTTATTAACACAGTTAAATTATAACTAATCTTACAACCAAGAAAAATAATGGTTCAAAAGTTCTCATATCTTATTTCCTTTAAAAAATATCAGAGAAGACAATCTAGTCTTGTTCTAAACTTTTAAGGAGTCAATTATTTTAGGTAAACGGGCATATCCTCCCATGAAAGCCCCAGTTGAACCAAAAGAAAGATGTCCGCGGGCTTAGATTTGGCAAGATGTGCACTTAGGTACCGTTTGGTACGTGGGACGGGACGGAACAGAGTGGGACAAGGCGTTCCGTCCCACGTTTGGTGCACCTAAAACGGGTGGAACGAGCTGTTCCACGGGACGAGTTTTGGGTGAATTTTCGTTCCACCTCACCCCCCTGGAACGACTCGTTCCACATCCGTGGAACACAAAATTATAACCACTCCATCTCCTTCTTCTTCCTTCTTGTTTCCATTCAAGGGCATCTTTGCTCCCGCTCCGTTCCGTTCCGTTCCGTCCTGTCCCGTCTTGTCCGCTCCCATCCCGTTCCGTCCCGTCCCGTCTGCATACCAAACGATACCTTAAGGTCGAAGTTGTCGACATGATACACCCATGTGTCAAAAAACAGGGGAGAGGTGTATACAATGAAGGGCACATGGGGACCGGAGAAAAGTGATGGGTTTAGCATTGAATCATTGATATGCTACACTTACCATTCATTTGTGTCATCTTTCTAATAAAGATAGGGTCCGTCAATGCATACGGATCCCATCTTTATTAGAGAGATTGTATAAGTAGATGATAAGAATAGCATAATGATGCATGCAAGCCACTGAAAAGTGTTACACCAATATATAGCATTATTAATTCACATATTATAAAAAATATATTACATATTTAATATTTCATGCACTTATAATGTAAATTAAAATGGCTAGATACACGTATTATATTATTAATGGGTTATGAATACAGTCCAACCTTAGAGCTAACTCTAGTTTATTTTTGGGGTTTTGAACTTTAATCCTTGAAGAAGATTAAAATTCAATAAAAACCTAGTGTTAAATTGGATATGTACTTAATTCAAATTTATATTATATTTATATTTTAATATTTAATAGATGTCTTATTTAATGTAATTACAATAAAATTAAAGTTATTTATTATTATTATACACATTTAAATTCATTATATTTATTTTACTTTCTCTAATTAGTGTACCTAAATGTACGTATCATAATATATTTTACTAAATTAGTGTACCAAAATGTCTGTACGTAAATATATTGTAGTGAATTAGTGGCACATAAGAAAATATGCAAAAACATAAGTGTACCGAAAAATTCCATACCTAAATATATGATACTAAATTAGTGTACCGAAATGTTAGTATCTAAATATATTATAATAAACTAGTGTACTGAAATATCTGTACCTAAACATATTATACTAACCTAGTGTATCGAAATGGTCATACCTAAATATATTATAATGAATTAGTGGCACATAAGAAAATATACAAAAACATGTGTATCGAAAAATCTTTACGAAAATATTTACTTATATAAGATACTTACCATAATAAGAATTAAAATATATAATATTTTCATAAAATTTAATTTATGAACGCCATAAAATTATAACTAAAAAAGTGAGACATTTAATATGTTGGCATTAAATAGAGTCTAGGAACTAAAATCAATTTTTAATCTTGTATAAGACATTTTTCTAAATTTCATCTTATTTTAGGATTAAAATCTAATTTTCTATTTATTTTTTCTCTCCTTTTGGGTTTATAAATAGCGAGTGACACCTTCAGTCTCTCCACATCTGCAAATCTTTACGTGCCCTTTCCTGCTTCCTATCTGCCCTCCCTCCAATTTTATCTCTGAAGTTGTTGGTTTCTGAATTCTGGTCGGTATTCTAGGAACCTTATCCAATTTCTGCTTCCGAGTTAAGAGATAACTATCAACAACTATCAAAAAGCGGTAGTTATAATCTGTTCGTTGGTTTACAAAGCTGAACGCAGCTTTTTACAACATACCAACTTTAGCTTTAGTTTTCTAATTCATCACTACTATGGAGAACAACAAGAAAGCGGGAAGTGGTGCAAGCCATGGTTCTTCTTCTCCACCATCAAGGAATCTGGACCATCTCTTTGGTCCCAAGGACTCCTCTTCATCTTCTTCTTCATCATCCTCCTCCGGATTATTTGGCTCTCTTTTCCCACCAGTCCCATCAACGGTATATGCTTATTATTTATTTAAGATTATCATTTAATAATCATTTCGTTTTTACTTTTCACTTTTCTAAAAACTGAAAACTTGTTTAGCAATTGTTTCAAAACTGAAAGCTATTTCTTGAGTTTTCAAAATTTGACTTAGATTTTGGTTTTCATTTCCTTTTGTAAAAACTACAATGATTATCCAACAAGTCCTTGGTATTGTCAGGTTTTCGGTGCGAGACATACATTCGTTATCAAATTACATTTTGTTTGTTTTTTTTTTTTTTTTTCCGTTAACCTGTGGGGTTTAAATTTGAGGTTTTTGAACTTTAATCCTTGAAGAAGATTAAAATTCAATAAAAATCTGGTGTTAGATTGGATACTGATTTTAGTCCTTTAATGTGTACTTAATTCAAATTTATATTATATTTTTATTTTAATGATAGATATCTTATTTAATGTCATTGCATTAAAATTAAAATTATTTATTAATATACATATTTTAAATCATTATATTTATTTTACTTCCTCTAATTAATGTACTTAAACGTCTGTATCATAATATATTTTACTAAATTAGTGTACCGAAATGTCTGTATCAAAATATATTGTAGTGAATTAGTGGCACATAAGAAAATATGCAAAAACATAAGTGTACCGAAAAATTTCATACCTAAATATATGATACTAAACTAGTGTACCAAAATATCGGTAACTAAATATATTATAATAAATTAATGTACCGAAATGACCATACCTAAACATATTATACTAACCTAGTGTACCAAAATGTTCGTATCTAAATATATTGTAATAAATTAGTGACACATAAGAAAGTATGTAAAAACATGTGTACCGAAAATTTTTTACAAAAATACTATACTTATCATAATGAAAATTAAAATTTATAATATTTTCATAAAATTATAAATAAAGAAAAGAGGCATTTAATATGGGGGCATTAAATAGAATTTAGGGACTAAAATTAATTTTTAATCTTGTATAAAATATTTTTCTAGACTTCATCTTATTTAAGGATTAAAATCTAGTTTTCTATTTCAATTTGGATTTTAGGGAGTCGGGAGGGAGAGAAGGCACGACTTCGGAGATCAAACTGGGAAGTATGGGAATCCAAGTTTTTCGGATAATAAGGGTGAAAGCAAAACCACCAAAGCTTCCAATATGTATCAAAACGAAGCTGTGGAGCCATGCAACTTCAGTTCATCAATCTACTATGGCGGCCGAGAGAATTATAGTCCAAGAACTGGGACAACTGAATCCCACCAGCACCATACTGTAAGTGCAAAAATTAGGGTTTTGTTTTGGTTGTTTATTCTTTATTCGCTTTTTATGAAGTAAACACTAATGATATTGTTGTAATTTAATTTTTAGTCTAAGAAAGATGGTGGCGAGGACGATGCAAATGGGAATGATGCTAACAGTGTTTCAAGAGGAAACTGGTGGCAGGGTATGATGTATATCTGTGGGCTTATTACTTAATAAATAAAAAAGTGATACCGGATCTTTTTTTTTGGAAATTTTAAAAATTCTATGATCGTGATTGTTTATCGTACATCTTACGGTCAGTTTTTATTAGATATTATTTATATTTAATTTTAAATTTTTAAATAATTTCTAACGCACGATCTACAATGAACTGTCACGATCACAAATTTCCTAAAATCTCCACGACTAGAAATATTATTAGTGTTTATTCTACATGATTAATATGTACGTGACGTCATTTCTGCAGGTTCACTTTATTACTAATTATTTGCTCTACGCATTATGTGAACTCACCACCTAATAGCAGGTAACTCGAATTGTCCTTTCCTTTAATATGCATCGAAAAGTATTATTAATCTACTCATATTATAATTGATGTATTTATATTATTCTATAATATGTTAAATAAAATCTCAAATATCAAAACCATAAGAAGCTGTCACGTCATATTAAAAAATTTCTATTTTTCACATCCTTTTATAACCACAAATATATGCTGCTTCAAAGTGATAAAAAGCAATAACTATTTGAAGAATTTTTCTTAGATATTCATCTGACGTAGAAATATGCTTGTTATGTTGCAGGGTCAAGCACAAATATATATGTATGATCTCTATCTTGAAGCTATATATGTATGGAAAATCAAATAAAGATGGTGGTGTTATATATAGCAATAGCATGGCAGATAGAGCTAGCAGAGCAGCCATAACTGATCCAGAAACTTAACTTGTTGGGTTATTTTTACCCCACTTAGTCAAGTTGGCCAAGTTTAATTAAATATGGATATGAGCTTATTAATCTCAGCTTTGATGTACTTTGTTTTGTAAGAACTTTCCACGTACTAGTTAACTACACCTTGTGCTTTTTTGAATTTCAATCCTTATCTAATTAGTTTTACTAATCAAATCAATATATAATGAAGCCATAGCAGCTTTTTCTGTGATATTCTAGATGCCAATTTGCTTGGCTCCTTCCCTAAATTTTCTAAAAGTAGGAATCCCTACAAATTAAGGACATTGAATGCATTTATAACTAGCAATAGTATATTAGTTTGGTTCTTCCAATGATGCTTAAAAAATTAAAGGTTCGGATCCACTAGATACAATGTGAAATGAGTTCAAAACACTGGTTTGCGCGATGTTAACTTCTTAACCAATCAGTACTTGAGCAAAACTTAAACTATATATTTGTAAGGTTCAATCATCAGACTTGTTATATGGGATGGGCCTATGGCCAGTAATTAGGAATTCAACTTTCGAGCCTAGCCCAACAGAATGTGTTGTTTTTAACATAACAGATATGTGGGGATGAGAATTTGAACCGTCCCATTCATGAGAGTTAAACTTAAAACCCTTCACTTATAAGCAGAGAGGAATAATACTAGTGACAAATATGAAATATGTGCTGCTTAGCAATTGAAGATGAATATAAGCAGGAGTGGAAGCTAAGAAGCAAATGAGATACCCCTTTCATCTTTACTTTCCTTTTTGGTTATGGATGTAAGCAGCCATGGTTAACATCAATAAGGATAGCACGAAGTAAATTCTGTAAAGACGGTTAAAACACCAACAATTTATTTATTATTCAGGGTATCTGGATCAACATGTCACAGTGAAACGCTAGATGAAACCTAGTTACAAAGATAATGAGATACAATCCCCAGTACTCGTTCCCAGTCACCAGGCACCATCAGCGACTTCAGCGTCTTCAGGGCAATGTATAAGCTGAAAATAAGAACAGGTAGTGTTAATAAAACTGCAAATGTATGTTGAGGAGGCATTTAGAAACAATTGAGATGTTAAAAACCAACCTCCACACTTGAAACCCACGGGACGATCAGCAATGTTACAACGTTTTGGAATGGTAACAGCAATTTCTGGTTTCACTCCCGACATCTTAGCAGTATTTGAAAGCATCACGGCACAGAGGCAGCTAGGGTTCTGACCTATCCTTTTTACCTGGCTACAGCAACTAGCGGAAACTGGAGCCTGTGCATCCTGTGCTGCTGATGCACAGGGAGCCAGCTTCAAAGCTTCGCTGTCAGGACTAGATTTTCCACACTCACCAGCCCCATATGCCCCATTCAACTGACTTATGCCGACAATTGCAAGAAACGCTATGAGGCAAATGTACTTCATTGGAGCTTCCATTTCTTCAATTTAGTGCAGAAAACACTTCTCGACTTCCCGCTTTTATACAGCAATAGGCAGCTCAAAAGACACTTGATTAGTTACTGAAAGATGAAACCCACAAGACATAGTGGAGGTAGCACTGGAAGGAGGCATGCTTTGTTTATTGCCGCACCTACTCCTCCAGAAATGGATTTCGATTACCTGGCAACTTTAGGCCATTGAAAATTATCACCTCTAACTAAAGTGCTTGCCACCATTCCATTACTTTTGTCATTTCAGAGAAGAGGCGCGAAAGGGCATTTCTTTTGCAACAGATAACACAGCAGCAATCAATCTCACAATCTCCACGGCTACATCCTATTCCTACCTCAATCTGTTTCTCTAGACTAGTTAGACCTATAAGAATTAGACCGATACCCAGTAAATCATTGGTTTTTCTTTGGCGCTTCTTTGCACACTACGTTCAATCAGTGTTAAACTAGTCCAGAGATCCAAGCTACCACTTCTAAAGAGCAAAGCAAGTAGTGGGATGGTGTGAAAGACTGAAAGTGCATTTGCACTGAAGAAAAACCGCTAAAGCACGGTTAAGTATTGAACTACCCAACCATAATCACCAACTCAACAGAAATCATCAAGCAACTAATACTCCTTTGATGACAGCCTCCCCACCCTGCGTAGAACGAAATAGAACACGCGCAAAGGTATTACAAGCTAATAACGCAGTTAACACACGTGATTAGCTTAAGATATTGCCACAATAACATCCCGTATGTGGGTGCCTGATTGGCCATTCCACACTGAAGTCATGATGGAGACAGCATGAGTAATCCAAAACAGAGCAAAAGGAATAATTGGTAACATGAACAAATTCACTAGAATATTAGCACTTGCTAACCCACGTGTACTACCACTTATCCCCAAATTCCCATTTCACCCAAATTGTGGAGCACTAATCAACTTGATTTCCCACTTGATCCACTACTAATGTGAACGAAGATCAAGGAATTATATATTTTAATCGAATTTAAGAACTTCAATCTCAGGATTAATCCAAATCAAACATTCAAATACATCAAATTAGAATTAAAATACAAAAATTTAGCGCGTAAATGCTTACAAAACGGTGCAACAGTAGATGCGCAGCGCGACAGGGACGAAGATGACTAGCGGGACGACGGCGGCGAGAGTGTGGGAGCTGCCGCAAGCCAAAGTCCCGAGTTGATCTGCACCATGTTGATGAGAACCAGCATCACGAACACGCACCTGGCAACCGAACGGAGACTCGAGACAAGCATCCCGATCCGGGGGAGGGAGCCGTTGGTGACCCGGGCTATAATCTCGGCGGGAGGGTGGTAGGACGGGTTGTGGGTGATCCGGATGCCTGCCTGAGGCCGTGGCGATGAGGCTGGAGAAGAGGAAGGAGCTGAAGGAGTAAACGTGGAAGGAGACGAGGTCCTCGGCCACGGAGGGGCCAGGGAGGCAGGCGGTGGTGTCGTCCTCAATGAGCCTGTTACTGGGGTCGGAGGGGTTCCAGGTGAGGGCGATGAAGAAGGCTAAGGAGAAGAGGGAGTTAACGTTGACAATGCCATCTGGGGCCGTCAGGTGGATGGTGGTGCCGCCGGGGGTGTCTATCCTTCCAATCTTTGATTCCATTTATACGCCTCAAAACACATTATACGACTCCATTTTGCATGCACGTATCAATAACCACGTATATTCTACACCTGAAACTCCAAATTTCCAAAACCCTTGGCCATAATCTCAGTCAGGAGTGTATCCCACATTCAAGCAACCATTCTCTGCAAAACATAATGGATTGCAAGTTAAAACCCGAAGCGGTGGCCATGACTTTGAGAGATTATCGTAATGTGACCTTCGTCATGATTGACATGTTCATCCATCTTAATTCCGTTGATGTCAATGTTGTCGATGAGAGCGTGCGGGTTAGGTCCGGAGCTCTTCTTGAACAAATTTACCATGCAATTTCTACCAAACCCCGAGTTTATGGGTTTCCTCCTAAATTTGCCTAGATTAACTTAATAAGATGCTGACTTCAGCGTAAAGTAAACCTTAAAGACAAGTTTACCGTTGTAGTTAACCCTTTCAAATAAATAAATAAAGGCTAAATTACACAAAACTACATCAACTATTAGTCGAATCACAATCTCATACCTCATGTTTTAAAAATTACAATATCATACATCATCTTACATATTTGTTGCAATATTATACATCCATCAGTTTTTCTATTAATTTTTCTATTAAATACTAACATAGTTTGATGCTGATCCACTTCCTAGTTCAGTTGGATTAAAAATTAATTAAATATTTAAAAACTAAAACTAAAATTATTTAAATATTTTATTAAAAAGGAAGAGGGACCCACCCCCTACAAACCCATCCCCTGACCCTTCTTCCACCGTCCACCATCTTGGTCACGGGTCTGTCAATTCACTCATCGCTGCTCAAATCTTCCCAGTCCGTCCAACCCATCTTCCCCGTCCATTTCTCCCCACCCATCTTCTCTGGAGTTCATCCTCCAGCTCTTGCTCCTCTTCTTCTTCCTCCTTCTCCTCCTCCTCTTTGTCTTTTTTTTTTTTTTTTTTCGGCGGGTCATACTGCCTAGAAGGCAGGAGGGCGTTAAAGTCTTACAACCATTTTATTGGGGATTGGGGACACTTGGGATTCCGTAGGAAATAGGGATAAATTGCTTTTGGTATTCTATTATGCCATCAAAAAGCTTAAAGCTTTACCGCCCATTTCAATGTCCTCCACCACTTGGATTGGTTTACAAATTACAAAATTGTTTCCAATCCCAAGTGTCACTCTCGCTCACTCAGAAACCCTAATAAAATACCCAAAACAATTTATCCCCAATCTCTAACGCTACACCCTCACCGTCATCTCCAAAGACAAGATTGCCGGCGTCAAAATCCCAGAAATTCCACGGTTCAATCTGCCATGAACGACGGTCAAACAGCGTGAAGTCTAGGTAGGTCCTGTCAGTGGCACCAAGAGTAGTGGAACGGCGGTGGTGGCGACGATGCTTGTCATTGGAGTTCGTGGTCAACTCACTTGGGAAGCTCGCCTAAGAAACGGTGGTAGAGGAGACGGGTGGGAAAGAAGGGTGAGGGGATGGGTTTGTAAGGTGGGTTCCATATTTTTAAATAAAAACATTTAACTAATTTTAGTTTTAATCCAACTGGACTAGCAAGCCTGCCTCAAGTCACGTCAACATTTAACAGAGAAACTAATAGAAAAATTGATAGAGGTCTAAAATTGCAACAAATTTGTAAGATGAGGTATGACATTGTAATTTTCAAAATATAAGGTAAAAGATTGTGGTTTGACCAATAATTAAGGTAATTTTGTGTAATTTAACCATAAATAAATAATCCAATCAAATTTAAAATGGCATAAAACATTGAAAAGGAAAAGTAAACCCTAAACCCCATCTGAGAACTCATTATCTTTTTCCTCTCTCGTCAATTCCACTATTTTTCTTCTCTTTTTATCAAATATTCTTCCTCTTGGACCTCCCCTATCAACATTTCATCCATTGGACAAATCCCAACAGGAAATCCATAAACTCGGGTTTTGGTAGAAATTGCATAGTAAATTTGTCCACAGTAAATTTGTCCAAGAAGCAAGGGTGGGCATAAAAAACATTGAATAGAAAACCGAATCCAACCATGATACAAAAACCTGTAAAAGACCGCGTTAATAAAAAAAATAAAAACCGGAACAAAAATCGAACCAGAACGTCTCAAATCGGTTTCGGTTTGGAAATACTAAAAATCGGATGAACCAGACCGAATCAATTTTAATATAAATTATTGCTTTGTTATTATTCTTGTATAAATAAGCCATTTTTCCAAGAAGGCAATATGCATAGGGCCAATTTTTTCTTGCTTCTCTTCCCTTAACTTTTTTTTTTCATTATTTTCCATTATATTTTGCATCATGTACACTTTAGTTTTAGTTTAGGATGTACATTTTCTATCTTCCGGTCACAAGTCTTGTAGATCTAGTAGTGAAAACTCAAATTTGCTTCAATTTGTGGTTGAAATATGTGTTTGGTTTTGAAAGTAGAAAATTCGAAATATAATATATATATATATATAATTTTTGTTAGGATCGCAAAACCAACATAAATTGAACTGAAATTGATGTGAACCGAGTCATACGGTTTTAATAATAAATTTAAACAGAATAGAACCGAATCATAAATACTTTTCTGGTTCCAGTTTCAATTTGAAAATGAAACCTGGTCAAACTGGACGATACCCACTCCTACCAAGAAGAGCTCCGGCCTTAACCCACATGCTCCCATCGCCTACATTGACATCAATGGAAATAAGATGGATGAACATGTCAATCATGACAAAGGGCACATCCGACACGTACGATATGCTCTCAAAGCATGGCTGCCGCCTCGGGTTTTAATTGGGAAAATTAAAATCCTCTATAATTTTTCTATATCATTTAGATTAAACACGTGTGCTTTTGTAAAATTTGATTAAAGTGTTTTGACCAATAGTCATCTCTATTTTTTAAAATTAAAATAAATTTTGAATTTATTCTTTTATCTGCAGGATGGACTTTTCCTTATTTAGTAGAGATATTAGTAATTAAACTACATTTTCTCTTCTTCCAAATATGTTATTTCGATCATAGTTTTTTTTTTTTTTTTTTTTTTTGGGTTATGCAAACATTTATTATTAATTTTTTTTTTCCAAATGGTTTTTTCTTTTTCAAATAGTTGGTGATCAACGTAAAAGCTCCGTGTAATTTTTTTCAATTTTTTTGTGAAATTATATATATATATATATATATATATATATTGCTGTTTTTTTTTAATTCAAAAAAATCATTAATTGGTACGTTTATTTGCAATTTTGGTACGTTTGATTTGATACATATTGTTAACATTGGTACATTATTTCTATTTTTTGGTACGTTTTATTTTGTACACATTGTGTATTGGTATGTTTATATTATTCTCAATCCTATTTTCTCTTAACGTACTAAAAGAAAAACTGA